TAGCAGGTAATAAAATTTGGTTATTAAATAGTAGATGTAATGTGTGTTCTCTTTCTTTCTATATAATATAAATATACTAGAAACTATATGTGTTTTATAAAATACTATTTGGTAATTGGTATGTTATGTTTGTCACAGAGATAATCTAGATTACTAATATGTTGGCATAGTATTAGATAGACACATATATAATTCTTGTCTTTTTGTACTTTTAGATAGACATACATGATACATAGACACAGTATGCTTAAATGCTTTGTATTTTTAAGCCACTAAATTAGTACAAAATTGAATTGATATACTAGATAGACATAGATACATAATAATTTGCCTTGTTTAATTTCATGTTTGATTCTAATTTATTTATTAGAGTTTAGGTTGATTGATTAATCATGTACTAATTTATTTATTTATTAGAATTAGGTTGTTTGATTAACCATATACAATTACAAATACTAATTTATTTATTAGAATTTAGGTTGTTTGATTTTTATTATTTTAAATTTTATTTTATTATTTGAAGACATTGTTAATTCTTATTGTTTTATTTGATTATTATTCTTTTAAATTTTGAAACTACAATTTTGTAATTATTTTATCTTTTGTTTAGAGATGAGGAAATTTTTGGTTGCTAGAGAAAATATTGAGAATGTGAATGTTGTGCAATCGGAAGTCGAATTAGAACCACCATCTAATGTGGTTAATGAGTTTAATCCAAATAAGATTGTGCGAGATCCAGGTCATAGGAAACAAATTAATGAGTATGCTCCGGATATTCAAGACCAAGTGAAGAGGGCATATATATTGAAGGGTCCAATGCAACCAGATTTGCCAAGCTTTCCTCGTACTACATTTGGGAGTGTTAAAGATCATTTAGTAAATCATGGTATAAGAATTATACATGGTTAGAATACAGTGAGATAAAGAATGCAGCTTATTGTTTTTATTGTTTTCTCTTTAAGAAACCCGGGAGGGCCGAGCACTTTGGTTTTGAAGTCTTCACTAAAAGTGGATATAGAGATTGGAAGCATGCATCTCAAGGCTTGAAAGGTCACGTTGGTAGTCATAATAGTTTGCATAACTCATGTATCAAGCACTATGATGATTATAATAATCAAAGACAAAGTGTGACAAGTAAGTTTGCTAAAGCAACCAAGGAATCAGAAGAATTATATAAGATTCGTTTGACTTGTTCTTTAGATTGTTCAAGATATCTCATAGCACAAGGCATGGCTTTTCGTGGCCATGATGAATCCTCTACTTCTCTAAATAAGGGTAATTTTAGAGAGATGGTAGATTGGGTAAAATCTCAAAATGAACAAGTGAGGGGCGCTACCGTGGTGGAAAAAATTGCACAATGACTTGCGGTGACATTCAAAAGGAGCTTGCAACATGTTGTGCACATGAAGTTACCAAGGTGATTATGGAAGAGCTTGGTGATAGACAATTCTCTGTGCTTATTGACGAGTCACGTGATATATCCGTCAAAGAGCAAATGGCGGTGATGTTGAGGTTAGTAGTTGTATTTTCTAATTTTCATGACCTATTATTTTTTATGCCGCCAAGTAAACTTGTTGAATTTATTTTAGGTTTTTGAATGACAAAGGAAATGTTGTGGAACGATTTATTTCTCTACATCATGTCAAAGATGCTACATCTGAGTCATTAAAGAATGCTCTTTATGGTATTCTTGATAAGTACACGTTATCGATTTCAAGGATACGAGGGCAAGGATATGATGGAGCTTCAAATATGAGAGGTGAATTTAATGGTTTGCAAAGAAAAATTCTAGATGAAAATCCTTATGCTTTCTATGTTCATTGTTATGCTCACCGCTTGCAATTAGTTGTTGTGTCTGTTACTAGTAGTTGCTCATCTATTCATGATTTCTTTGAGTACATCTCCTTGATTGTGACCACAACAAGTGCATCTTGTAAGAGGAGGGATGCTTTGATAGAGGCACAACACCAAGATATTTTAAATAAACTTGAGAGTGGTGAGATATCTAGAGGAAAGGGCTTGCACCAATCATCTAATCTCACAAGACCTGGGGATACTAGATGGGGGTTCACATCATACTACATTGCTTCGTTTGGATCAAATGTGGCCCTCTGTGTTAAAGGTGCTTAGTATGGTTGATGAAGATGGACGTGGACTATCTCAAGCAGCGGGTTTGATAGAAAAAATGGAGAGCTTTAAATTTGCTTTCATTTTGAAATTAATGTTAAAGTTGTTTGGTATCACAAACGAGCTTTCAAATGTCTTGCAAAGAAAAGATCTTAATATTGTGATTGCCATGGAATTAGTTGATGATGTCAAAGCTCGATTGGCCACAACGAGAGAGAGTGGTTGGGATAATTTATTTTCTGATGTCCAAGATTTTTGTGTTGCTAAAGGTATTCCAGTTCCAAATATGGATGATGAAATACCGGTTCGGGGTCGTTCAAGGGTAGAAGGGAGGACTGTCACTAATCTTCATCATTACCGTGCAGAGATTTTTTATGTTGCTATTGACAAAATATGTGTGGAGATGGATCATCGCTTTAGTGAAGAAAGTAACATTATCCTTAATTGTTTTTCATGTCTTGATCCCAAAAACTCTTTCTCCAAGTTTAATGTTGATAAGCTTGCTCGTCTTGCGGATATTTATCGTGTAGACTTTTCTGATGATGACCGAGGAACAATAAGGGATCAACTTGAGACTTATGTTCTTCAAGTGAGAAGAAATGCTTCATTTTCCACTTGTGAAGATGTTCAAAGTTTGGCTATGAAGATGGTTCAAACTGAGAAACATTTAGTATTTCCATTGGTTTATAAACTTATTGAGTTAGCTTTGATATTGTCGGTGTCGACAGCATCCGTTGAAAGAGCTTTTTCAGCAATGAAGATTATCAAGTCTAAATTGCGCAATAAGATCAATGATGTGTGGTTCAATGACTTGATGGTATGTTACACTGGGCGGGAGATATTCAAATCACTTAATGATATTGATATTATTCGAACATTCACCGCAAAAAAGTCTCAGAAAGGACATTTGCCTCGTAATTTTATTTAACCCGCTATTGTAAGGTTATATTTGTCTCTTTTATTTTAAACTATATTTTTGTGGACAAAATGGCGAGTCTTTTTTATTTTGATTGATGAGTATTTATATATTATATACAATGTAAATTTGTGATCTTTAATTTTTCGCCCAAGCTTTATAATATTTCTGGCTCCGCCACTGCCTGAGTTCAATCTTAATTGAAGTTTTAAACCTTCAATCTTCAGTCCTATTTTAATTACTTTGGGAAGAAGTATAATAAATACAAAGGTAACTTAGCAACATACTATTTAAATATAAATTTTGTTGCTATTGTTGAGCTTTATGGAATGTATTAAAATTTTAAGATATTGTTTCACTCAATAAAAAATTAAGATATAATATCAAAGGCGTGTTATATTTTATTTATTAAATAAATAAATATTGTAATACTTTAATTTTAATTTAATAATATTAGTATTATTATTAAGGGAAAATACTTATTTTAATCTCTTAATTATAGGTTATGGTCCACTTTAGTCCCTTATCTTTTTTGTGTGTCAAATTTGTCTCTTAATTTTCAAAACGATGCAAACAAGCCCCTGTCGTTTACTCAGTTAGTCAAACTCTGTTAAAAGCCTACGTGGCACATTTGACCAACTATTGTGACGGGGTTAGCATCGGAAAAACCGACGCTAAAAACTATTTATGAATTTTAATTAATGTTGTTCACCTCCTTCTCCAAATTTAACCCCGAATGAAACCCATAACCAAAGTTTAACCCTTTTTGCTTACAAAAATCAAGAAATTTGGAGATAACAACAAAAACCCGGATTTGGTTGGAATGGATCTTGTGAGTGAGTTATCGTAAAGGTAAATGTTTTGAAGCTCTGAGAGTAGCAGCTGCATCAAGGTTGACACATGAAGCAACCTTGACATCAATCAAAGTTCTGCGTAGCAAGTAAGTCATGGTTTTCAACCCTTTTTCCGTAACAAGCTTACATCCCTGAATCTCAAACCTTACCAACCGAGAACACCCTCTGCCAATTTCAATCAACCCCATGTCATCAAGGTCACCACAACAACTAACAGACAAGGATTGAAGCCCGTGGCAAAGTGCAATTCCATCGAGGCGTGACCCAATTGCCAAACAAATCCCTTGAAACTGACCCAACTTCACAACCTTCAGATTTGGGCACTTGGAACATAACATCTCCAAAGCAATACCACTCTCACTGACATTTTTACAAACATCTAGAACCAATTCTTCCAAAAGGGGAAGCCCGTAGAACAACGCTAGAAGCGTGGCATGACTTACGCTAGCATCCTCTCCATCATCTTCCTCTCTACGATTCAAAAACGACAACGTATCATCCATATGAAGAAGCGAGAGCTTGGAGCAATTGGAAGTGAGAGCCAATAATGTTTCGTCACCTACAAATTCGATGTACCTCAGATCAAAAGTACAAGCCACGAGAAGATGCTCCAGGTTAGGACACGATGACGTGATGGATTTGATTTGGTTAGACTTGAAACCTTCTCTGAACGACGTCGTTAGGAGATTCAGACGGCAGAGAGAAACATCGACGACAGTGTTTGCTGCTAGAACCAGTGGGAGATCCTCCGGACAGTGGTAGAAAGAAGATAAATCCAGCGAGCTTAGCGACAATTTCTGATTTTTGCTTAACACAACATAATCAAATTGGAACAGTTTCCGATTTCCAGTGACAACTGTCCTTTTAGATTCTTGTTTCCTCCAACTCTTATCACTTGAAGGCTCTTGTTGTTATCTCCAAATTATGGGTTTTTTGTAAGCAAAAAGGGTTAAACTTTGGTTATGGGTTTCATTCTGGGTTAAATTTGGGGAAGGAGATAAACAACATTAATTAAAATCCAGAAATAGTTTTTAGCGTCGGTTTTTCCGATGCTAACTCCGTCACAATAGTTGGTCAAATGTGCCATGTAGACTTTTAACAGAGTTTAACTAACGGAGTAGACGACATAGACTTGTTGCGTCGCTTTGAAAATTAAGGGACCAATTTGACACGAAAAAAAGATAAGGGACCAACGTGAACCATGACCTATAGTTAAGGGACCAAAATGAGTATTTTGCCTATTATTAATTATTTTATTTTAATGTTTTATGATAATCCATATTTTGTGAGTTATTATAATCCTTAATTCTTGACTTTAGTTTATTGATTTATCATTTGACAATTATTTTATTGTATTTTATTTGTTTTTATAGTAATTTGCACAGAGCACAAAAGTGCTCTCTTTTGTTGTTTTTATGTGTTTGTTTTTGTTGCAAGACAAGCTCTAATGAGATGAGGTAAGACAATTGGGGACAACATCTGGGAGTTCAAACTGAAGCAAAAAGCTGGAATTAGTTAAGAGTTAGAATGAAGCAACCAACTGAACTCCTAGGGCATACGTGGAAAACGAATGTTTCGAGAATACCTGAATTTAATCAATAAGATCAAAGGCACAAGAAGACAAAAGTGGATAGTACATAGTACAACCACTAAAGAGTTCCATGCACCAAAAAGGACAAGCCCCACCTGCACTTCTGTTGTAGTAGTCTACCATGTTATACTTTGTCTCCCATCCAAGTTTGTACTTGAATTGCTTGTGTACGGAGCAGAAGAAAAGAAGGGAATATGGTGAGGATAATATTGGGCTTGATGTGATTTCTACAAAGGTCCATGATCCAAAATAATGAAAAAAAAACCCTAGCTGAAGGCATATAAATAGATCCCGTTGAAGACTAAAAATGGAGTTCAACACCTTGAAAAAAATACAGAAGAAAATAGTGTAAGGATTAGTGAAGAGAAAAGAGAGTTTATTTTTCTCACCATTTCCAGTGCTCACTGTTGAATCTTGGCGCGACTAAAGTCATCACCTGTTGATTATCCATCACAATGAGGCTACACATTTCTCTTAGGTTGTCATTCATTTTTCATCACTTGTTTAAGAATGTTTCCTTTAAGAACCAACTTTATAGTTTGTACTCAGCTCATCATTAGTTTAACCTTTTTTTTTGTTGATCAATGAGAAGTTAATGTAATATGTTTTTATGTTAAATGATATGATGAAGTGCATAAGTTTGATTATTTGAATGATCAACTTAAAAAAAGATAAAAATCTTATTGTTGTGATAGATCAAACAACAAGTGGATTTCATAATAAAAGTTGTTGAAAAAAGCAGGGTAGAGATATTCCCTCGATTAGTTTACTTAGAGATAAAGAACTACAACTATAAATGATTTTTAGAATATAAAAATGTGTATTTTAGGGTTATAAGTGTGGCTTAAAGATTTGTTCCCTTGCCCTAAAATACATGCTTTTGATGTTGAAATACACCCTAAGATCACTTTCTGACCTTTCCTAAAATGACACATCACATCATGTACACATAATTGCTTCATAAATATTAATGGATCATGATTCAACTTACATTCTCTTGAAATACTCAGCATTCATTTTACACTGCTTAGGTCTTGTTTAAAAGAAAATTGAACTTGTGACATTCATATATTCTTTTTATCCTTGCTCATGCTTAATTTCAAAAGATAGTTTCTTACAAAATCAATCTAAGTTGCTTACACTCCTTGTGGGTACCATATCTTTACTTTTTATCACTTTCTACTTTCAAATATACATGTATACTTGCATGTGACACTTTTTCAAGCAACAACTTTTTGGGAGCCTTTGAAGGGAAGTGCCAAGTTAACATTTTAATTATGTATTTATTACTACTTTTTAATTAAGCATTTGAGCTTTTAATGTTTCTTGTAATCTGGTGTCATGATAAGTGCTTAGTTGTTGCATGTGCAGGTTGTTAAATCCAGTTTACAGAGAAGATCCTGAACCTGAAAGAACATTCAGGTTGCTAAGGAGATTTCAACTTACTGGACATTTACCAGGGAGTCCTCCTCCCTTCCTTGTTTTTGATATAGAAGACTAAGAGGAGATATTGCAAGAAGAGGTTGTCATGGAAAAAACCAAAATCATTGGCATTGCCAATGATAAAGCAAGAAACATTAGAGACTATGCCTTGTTTGATCCTAGTGCCATGAACTCGGGAATCATACGTCCAAAGATCACTGTAGTACAATTTGAGTTCAAGCCAATGATGTTTCAAATGTTGCAAGTTATGGTCAATACTCAGGCACTGTAAATGAGGATCTACACTGGCATTTGAGACAATTCTTGAAAGTGGCAAGTAACTTCAACATCCCTGGTATTATTGGTGATGCCTTCATGTTAAGTCTCTTTCCATACTCTCTAAGGGATAGATCCAAGAGTTGGTTGAATTCCATGGAGCCCAATTCCATATTAACATGGAATGATTTGGCTAAATTATTTCTAGCCAAATATTTACCTCCTGTTAAGAATGCCAAAATGAGAAATGAAATAACCTCATTTAGACAAGGAGATGACGAGTCTTTGTTCGATGCTTGGGAAATATTCAAGGATTTTATTAGACAATCTCCCCATCATGGGATTCCAATTTATATTCAACTTGAAACATTCTATAATGAATTGCTTCCTTCTTCAAGAAACATGTTAGATACTTGAAGTGGTGGAGCTCTATTGTCTAAATCATATGAAGATGGATACAAGTTGATTGAGAGTGCTACTGCCAACACTTATCAGTGGCCTGTGACTAGGTATGATGTTAATTCCACTCAAAATAAACCTGTTGGTGTTCACGAGGTCACTGAGACAACAAATCTTGCTAACAGGTGATTCAAATTGACCAAATGATGAAAAACATGATGAAGACCCCTAATGTGATAGTATTTGAACAAGTCAAGGTAGTAATTGATGCATCAGAGGTTGCATGTGTTTATTGTGGAGGTGCTCACATATTTGAAGAGTGTTCTGCCAATCTTGTTTCATTTAACTATGTTGGCAACAAAAAGTATGACAACCCTTACAGTAAACCTTATAACCCTGGTTAGCATTATCACCCAAATTTTTCATGGAGCAATAATCAAAATCAACTCAAACTTCAAGCATCTCAAGCACCACAAGTTCCACCTGGTTTTTCCTCATCAAACTATGTTATGGATAATCAAGGAAATAACCAGATGAAAAACATACTGAAACCCTTCATACCAGAGACTAAAGATCAGTTTCAAGCTCAATGAGTTTACATTAAGAACTTAGAGAATCAAGTGAAGCAAATTTCCACTGCATTTAGTTCAAGAAATATGGGGGCTCTCCCTAGCTCTTCTGAAACTCCAGCCACTACATCTGGAGTCAAGAATGTTGAAACGTATAATGTTATTAAGCAAAAAAGTGGAAAAGAATGTGAAGGATCAATGTCCACAAGAAATGAAGTGCCAAGTGAGTAACTATCAGCTCAGGAAAATTTAGAAGAAGATAAACCTGGGTCAACCGAGGAACCTTCTTTAGAAGGACACAATGAAGAAATGCTTGTGCAAGAAATGGTTAAGTAGAAGACTACTAGCATGACCTCAAACACTGAAAAACAACTGATAGCCATGCCAGAGGTCGACAATGCACCTAGATTTTCTCAAGAAAGACCACCGCCCCTTTTTTTCATAGAATCAGAAAAGCTAAAGAAGAACAACAATTTAGTAAGTTCATAGAGATTCTTAAGCAGATTCATATCAATATACCATTGATTGATGTCACTCAACAAAATTCTAATTACTCCAAAATTATGAAAGATGTTCTTATAAAAAGAAAGATGATGGGAGAATCTGCAAATATAGCATTAACTCAAGAATACAACCAACTAGTTTAAGGGAAGCTTTCTACCAAATTGAAGGACCCTGGCAGTTTCACTATTTCATGTAAAATTGGAGAGTCATTTTTTAGCAGGGAACTATGTGACCTTGGAGCAAGTATTAATATTATGACATTGTCTATATTCAAGAAAATGGGAATTGGAGCTGTCAAACAAACAACAATTACTCTTCATATTGAAGACATGAGCATATGTTATCCTCAAGGAAAAATTGAATATGTCCTTGTGAGAGTATAAAAGTTTGTGTTCCCTGCTGATTTTATTGTCATTGATTTCAATGTTGATGAGGAAACTCCAATCATGTTGGGAATACCCTTCCTTGCTACTGGAGGAACTTTGATTGATGTGGATGGAGGAGAACTCATTATGAGAGTTAATGGATAATAAGTTGTTTTCAATGTACTTAGTGTTTTGCAATATCTTGAAAAGATGTGGCTGATTTTCCAATGATCTCAAGTTAGGAAAATATCATCCACAAGAATCTCCTCAAAAGAAACAATGTCTTATATTAAGAGTTGGGTAAGTTGAATAAAGATGATAACGAGAAAGATGGAATTATAAGTGGACCTTTGGATAAACCACTTAGAGAAAAAGAGAACATGGAAGTTTTGGAGCTATCTCCAGAGTTAAAGAAGCAAAACATGCCCTCAGTTGAAGTTTCTTATGAACTTGAACTCAATCAACCGCCTGCTCACTTGCAATATGCTTATCTAGAGGCAGGGAATAAGTTGCCAGTAATTGTTGCCACTGATTTATCTAATGAGCAGAGGTGTCAAATGTTGACACTTCTAAAGAAACATAAAAAGGAAATTTCTTGGAAAAAATCTAACATCAAAGGAATTAGTCCCATGGTTTGCATGCATCGAATCTTGTTGGAGGAAAATTCCAAGAACAACATTGAGAGCCAAAGGAGGTTGAATCCAATCATGAAAGAGGTGGTGAAGAAGGAGATCATTAAATGGATAGATGTTATAATTATTTACCTTATATATGATAGTGTGTGGGTGATCCTTATATAATATGTTCCAAAGAAAGAAGGCATGACAATCATCACCAATGAGAAAGATGAATTAATTCCTACCAGAGTTATATCTTGTTTAAGGATATTCGTTGATTACAGGAAACTGAACAAGGCCACAAGAAAAGATCATTCCCCCTGCCTTTTATTAATCAAATGTTAGATATGGCTGGTAAGGAATTATATTGTTTCATTGATGGGTACTCCGACTACAATCAAATAGCTATTGCACCTAAAGATTAAGAGAAGACTACCTTTATATGTCCTTATGGAACTTTTTCTTTTAGGAGGATGACCTTTGGACTTGTAATGCTCCAACCACATCTCAACATTGCATGATGGCCATTTTCAGATATTATTGAGAATTCCTTGGAAGTTTTTATGGATGACTTCTCTGATTTTGAAGAATCATTCAAGAAATGCCTTGACAACTTATGTATGATGTTGACCAGATGTGAAGAAAACAATCTTGTGCTAAATTGGGAAAAGTGTCATTTCATAGTAAAAGAAGGGATTGTGGTAGGGAACAAAATTTCAAAGAAGGGCTTGGAAGTGGATCAAGCAAAAGTGGAAGTAATAGAAAAGTTGTCCACACCTGTTAATATAAAGGGAATTAGAGTTTTTTGGGTCATGTTGGATTCTACAGAAGATTCATCAAAGACTTCTTCAAGATAACTAAACCATAGTGCCAATGGTTGCAACATGATGTTCTATATGTCTTCAGCAAGGGATGTATGTATGATTTTAAACTACTAAATAAAGCCTTAATCTCTGCACCAATAGTGAAGACTCCTGATTGGATAAAACATTTTGAGTTGATGCGTGATGCTAGTGATTTTGCCATTAGAGTTGTGTTGGGTCAAAGAAATAACAAGGTGTTACATACCATATACTATGCTAGTAGGAAATTTATTGAAGCACAAGTCAACTATACCACCACTAAAAAAGAACTGCTAGCTGTTGTGTTTGCTTTTGATAAATTTAGATCCTACATGGTAAGAACAAAGGTAGTTGTGTACACAGATCATGCTGCAATAAAGTACCTCATTGCAAAGAAGAATGTTAAACCTAGGTTAATAAGATGGGTGTTTTTGCTTAAATAATTTGACTTGGATATTAGAGATAAGAAAGGAGTCAAGAACTTAGTTGTTGATCA